AGCAAGTGAAAAAAAATTTCCCCGCGGGAAAATTGAAGGTAGCAAGAAAAAGAAGCCGTTCCACCGTCCAGAAAAGAGAGTTCACGAACACCCCCAGAATGAAGAAGGGAGAAGGACGACGTATGTGCAAAGAGAACCAGGAGAAATGACGGCAACTATAACCCGGCTCTAAAACGGAAGATCTACTCATCCGACAGGACTCTCCGCAGCAAATGTCGCCGAACTGCGGAAGGGCCATCAGCGGCGGAGGAAAAGTTACAAGGAAAATTTGAACGGCCAGCAACGAGGTCCAAGCAGGAACACGAAAGAAGTTTCCCGGTTCCGCCAAGACCAGCTGCCATCAAACGGCCAAGACCACAAGCAGAGGAGAAAAAGAAGGTATTCAAGGGTGACCGAACTGGTGAAAAAAGGAAGCTTCTAGAGGAAGGCACTGAAGGGCGAGCCCGTACAAGAAGGAGGATAAATCAAACAACTATCTGCAATACCTTTAAGGACTGGGCCCAGAAAAGGATGCCCGAATATCACAAAGATAAGTAAAATTTTATGTTACTTTGCAAACTTAAGTTAATCTTTCATTCTTACTGCAAGTGGCAGATTTCAAGAAGTTTTACCTCATGCGAGGTCTACCTTTATCGCCAAAAGGGCGAGAAATGAGTTGTTACCGATTTTGGTATTATGTTTTTCAATTACTCGCGCGTAAAACTAAAGTTGATGTATAATAGCGTTGTGTAAAGACTTAAATATTGTAAAAAGTTATTGTATAAATTTTATTTAAAACATTCTGGCAAGAAAGAAGTTTTAGTCTGAAAGACTTTTTGAAATGTAGTATTTCAATGTAGAAAGAATTGGCACTTGCTTTGAAAAGAATAGAAGTTAACAATGTACTACTAATGTATGTTTTCAAATGTGTAAAATTAACGGCATGTTAATATGTTCTTATATACAATGTGAACTGTTATTTTAAATGTTAAGAAATACCGTGATATGGTAAAAGTGAAAGTAATGTTAAAATTTTTTTTATTCGTGTGACTGTAAAAAGACTAAATCATGGTGAATATGTGTTAAAGGTTGAATGATGTAGTTAGGCTCTCTGACGCTACACTTCAGAGTTAGCCACTTTCAGAATAGTACCTCAGGGTTTAGAGTTGAAATTAGGGTGTGTTACGAGGTCTTGGTATGTTGAATTTTAACACGTTAGTGTTTTGATTGTAGGAGGAAGTGTGGAACACGTAGACATAAACACATTCGTGTTTGGTGTTCTTTTACAACACATGTCAGAGAGCACGGGGAGAGATAATTAAAATAGTCATGAATGAAATAAGAATGTTAAGAAAAGTATAATTATACATGTTACTTGCCATTTCATTGTGTAACATTTCATTAAACTAGTTTTCCTTCCAGATCTCTGGAAGGAACCAGATTTGAATAAAAGCTCCTGTTTAGATGCAGTACAGATGAAAAAAATTGTGTATCCTGGGAGCTGCTATTGTAAAAACAAATTTCTTTCTTTTAAATTTCTAGTTTCTAGCGAAAAATGTTTGTAAAAGATTGGCCTCGCGTTAGATTCTAGAGCTAAAAGTTTTCAACAAGGTCGTTTTAGACCTCAGTTTCAAACTAATTAACTCTGGCGGGAAGTATGTAAGGATCTTAAGTTTTACTAACGTTTATTTTATTTTAAATCTTTACTATCACTTCTTATTTTCTACTTCCGGCCAGAATTATAAGCGTTAAGGTATTTATGCAAAGTTTGTCTGGCGAACGCCAAGTATTTAAGTTGTGGCTTTTTGCCAAGCGAGAGAGAGGAAGCAGTGAGTCGAAGCAGGCCGCTTACCTTAGAAGTTTTACTCAGTTGCTGGTTGCCTTCCAGGCCAGAGGTTTTAATCCTCTTGATAAATTTAAACGTATTGTAGTGTTCACAGTTCTCTGTACTACATACGGCTTCCTGTTAATATAAGGCCAATCTTCCACGTTTATTATTCTAAAGTTAAATTAGAGTTTAGTTTTTTTTTTTATATTTTACGTTTAGACCCCAAGTAGCGGGTCGGTGTATTCCGAAGTACGGAAGTTATTGTAAATAGAGAAAAATAAAGGGTTTTGTATACCCTTCTTGTGTATCCTGTCTACTTCCCACAGTTATTGAACATAGCTTTAGTAAGCTCTCTGTTCCGAGTCAGGTCCTTGCATGTTCCGAAGAAGTTAGAACATTGACCCTGATAAATAATTCATTTACCAGAGGCACCGGCCAAATAATGAGTCCTATTTATTATAAACTGCCCAATTAAAGGGAAAAATTTAAATTCTAAGTTTAGTTAACAATAAGCAGACTTTGCAATACTCTATTTCCCTAGAAATACGAACTCATGAAAACATGAGACGTCCAAATAAAGTCTCCTCAATCACATGCGGAAACCTTTCCCTTTAAGAAGGGCAATAAATTACGGGGAGTTTGTTTAGGAACGTGTAAATTTCTCGCCATGCCATCGTATCTAGTGTATTGTTATTGATGCTTAAAGTTAGTTATCCTCGCAGGAAGGAAAATTTGCGTTCTTAAATGTGCGTTAAGTGACAGCGAGTACAATAAGAGTGAAATACTGAGATAAACTGCTCAAGCACGTTCTATACATCGTCTTTCCACAGTATCCACTTAAGTAGGGGAAAGCGTAAACAGCAACTTTACATTCATTCTTAGAATTCAGATTCGGGACTCATTTTACCCCTGACACACATCTGCTTAATGGCTATAATTATATCAGCAGAGAGCCGCGGTCAAAGATAACGTTCTCTCTCACCAAGATTCCCCTCATTTTTTGTTTCCACCCACTTATACCCTCATTCTCTTTCGCCCTGGAATTTTCATCAGCTATACTTTAAGTATATTTAATTTTTGTGATGATAAAAGAACTTCTCCCCTCCTACGATAAGAGCTTAAATTGGGCCAGAGCCCACCGGATCTCGGCTTCGAGGCTTCTTAGTTTTTGTAATAAATCATAACTCTAGCCGGAACACACAGGAGCCCTGAATAAGAAGGCTACGGCACTTCTTTTATGCGATTGAATAACAATTTCAGTAGAAATTTTATCTCAAAAATTTTATTTTAAGAATAAAATTATATTAAAAATCGCGTATTTAATTTCAATTTATCTCTTTACATTTTATTTAATTTTCATTTTAATTACTTCAATCTTTAATTATTTCAATAAATAATAGTTAATTATCTAATAATTATCAATTAAATTATAATTAATTATTTATATAATAATTATGATTAAATAACAATTAACATTAAGTAAATAGCTATTGATTAATTTGATAATAATTAACTATTTAATTTTAAAATTATTAAGGTGTGTGTGTGTGTATGTGAGAATATGGCAAAGTACACTCGAGGGCTATCTGCCTAAGAGGAGGGATGCCTTCGTGGAGGACATTTTCTAAGGGAAACTGGCTCGTATACACGTTACACATGGGGAAAACCACGAAAACGCCCATGCAGCCAGCCCGTTCGCGGGATTCGAACCTCGGACCGAACTACCAGGGTTCAGCGACTTTACCGCTCGGCCGCTGGTGGGCCTAAAATTATTAATGAGTTTAATAATTATTTTATTTATTTATTTACTCTTGTTAATCTTTGCTGACGGTCTTCCATAGGGCTCTGGCACTTCTAATCTTAGAAATTAAGCCCTGAGTATAACTAAGCTGCGATTGGTTAATTTTAGGTTGTTATATAACGTGGAAAGATCTCAAATTCGGGAGAACAGATGAACTTAGGAAACAGAACTTAAGAAAGTCCTGATTCAGAAGGATGAAACATGCATTCGGAACTCATTAATCAACTTGGTTTAAAACACTTTTCCCTTAACAAGTTCTGGTTGAAGCGTTAAACAGATGAGATTAATACATTATAATGTATTTCTCCCACTTCCCTAGCGTGCCTTCGTGGTGTAACGGTAGCACGCTGGGCCGGTATTCCAGAGGTCCGTGTTCGATTCCCGGCGAAGGCGGTTGCATATTTTTCATCTTTTCTGCTTCCAATTAACCTAACGACTCTACAAGTGGTGGCCGAACTAAAAGGGTTGTGGATGATGATTCTACGCACCCAGGATTTGGCGACTAGGTCCCCTAAAACCCTAGTCGCCCTTTAAAAAGGGGAGTATATAAGGTATTTCTCCCACTTCCCTAGCGTGTCTTCGTGGTGTAATGGTAGCACGTTGGGCCGGTATTCCAGAGGTCCGTGGTTCAATTCCCGGCGAAGGCGGTTGCTAATTTTTCCTCTCTCTGGCTTCCAAAAACCTAATGTCTCTACAACATAGCTTTTAGTTTTTTTGTTTTATTTAGAATTTTTTCAGTTTAGTCTACGTATTTGAAGTTTCTTTTAATTTTAAGCGCACTTCTTTTGGTTACGTCTTTCCTGGAGAAAGAATTGGTTAGGGCCTGCATAAAGAAGAATTTATAATTTTTCATTTTAGTTACGACTTCTTCTTTTTAATTTGAATTATATATATATATATAATACAGAGCGAAAATTTCTACTGCATAGTTACGGACAATTTATACAAAACGATATTTCACGAAAATAACTAAGTCTGTTATTGACAGCCCTAGTGACGCAAAATTTCACTCCGATGCATTTAAAAGATCTGAAATTTCGAGCAATTGTGTAAAGTAAAACAATTTTATCATCCACGTTTACTTTTCGGAACAGTGTGAGATCGTATTTAATTGTTCATTCAAATTTAATAGTGTATCACTGATTATAACAAATTAAGAAATTTCAGAGCAATAAATTTATTTCTTCGGCCTTGTTATTATCGAATACTATATGCACCTGTGAATTACAGTAGCTAGATATATTAAAATCCTTACATATTTTTCTTTATTATAACAGCTATTTCAGGCCACTAGTAAATTGAATGAATATTTTCACGAGATATTTTAGACGTTTTTACTTCTTGAGAAATGATCATGGCAACGTGATTTTAAATTCAAACAGTGATTAAATTTTTTGAAAGACTTACTCAATATTACAAATAGCAGGCTACAAAATTCTTTTATTCAATAAATTGTGGATCTAGGTTTTGATTAGATATGGAGGAAGCACAAGAGCTACGTATAGGAGCCTTGAAAAGCACAAGTATTGTAATTTTTTCTCAAATTTCAATCTTTCTGTGATATTGAATGTGTGACTGTGTAAGAATATTTAAAAATGAACTACAATATGAAAAATATTCTTAGTTAAGAAGTTAGTTTGCTTGTGTTTAAACATATAATTTGTACTTTTATTATTGTAAAATACTTATAAATAGTAATATGATAGCATCATATAACTAAAATAATGGTGTAGTAAACTTACTCATTTTTACATTAGAAACTAATTTTAAAAATGTATGACTTATTGGCCATCAAAAGCGCTATTTGAATGTATTTGTAAACAATAGCACTGTTAACGGCAAGTAAAACAAAGAACAGTGGTAATTAATTCTTTCATCGTGACACAATACATCGGGATAAAAAATTAATTAATTAATTAAAAAATAAAGCCAATAAAAATAGTATTTTAGTGGTTAACATGTTCCCTTTTATATACTGACTCTTTAAAAAAAAATTATGTATAGTTTCTTACAAAAAAAAAAAAAAAAAAAAAATGCACTGCTTGGATGTTGAAACAAGGATGCTACTGGTTGTGCACAAAATAATGACAAGAGCACCTGCAGAAAGATTAGTTAGTAAGCACCTGGGATGAAATCCTACTCAAAGAATATGTATATAAAGATGGAAAGCTTTCATAGAGGTAATGTAAAAACCAGTTTGACTACTGCACCGCTATATCGAAGAGGGATAAATTCGTTTCGTCAGCTGTCTTCACCAAATTGCCAGGTGTATAGTAATTGAGGAATACGGTACAAATTCAAAGAGCTTGTTGGATTCGTTTTTTGACCAAACCTTTCGCTATAATTTAAACTCAAATTTTTTCGCATATTTCTTTTTGTCAAAATAAATAATCCATTAATTAATCTACTTCTGCGGATCACTGATTTGATTTATGTCGATAGAGAGGGGGTGTGGAATGGCTGTTGTTGTTGTTGTCTTGTCCATATTACATGGAACAACGGTTGCCAGAGCCTACTCCAAAGAGAGGTTGGACTTCTATTTTCCATCCAAATTTTGAGGGTGAGCACCCCGGGGAGGATCCGTGGGTCCCTCATCCCTCTCTCCTTTCACCAATCCACACGAGAGGACTTTCGGCTCGCCGCATACTTAGAGTGCTGCCATGCCGCACCCACATTATGTATTTACAAATATCCTTGTCTTCTCCGGGATTCGAACCCGGGACCTTCGGTTCTACACAGACTCAGCCTCAAGCCTCGCTGCAATAGCTGGAATTCGTTCTAGCAGCCCTATCGTCTGCAGCATTAGAGACATTCTAACCCACATGCCTGCTTCGCAAAGACCCTCACTCATTTGGGTGCCCGCTCATACGAGAATAGAAGGAAATGAGAGAGCAGATGTTGTCGCAAAGGAAGCAGCGGATTCATCCACTTTGCGAGACGTCCTGACCCTTAGGCCAGTCTCGGACCTAAAGAGTCGGACATTCCATCAGTTCCTAAGAATATGCCAAGAACGCAGGGATCAAGCCTCCACAGAGAGACGTGTATAGAATCTCATTCCCCAGGTCAAGACAACAAGCCAAACTGATAGAAATTTACATGACGTATTTCTTCACTGGTCATGGGCCCTTCCCTTCATACCTCTGCCGCTTTGGCTTGAGAGAGAATGGTAACTGCGAATGTGGGGAGGAGGGTCATCCAGATCATTTTGTGTTCTCCTGCCCACACACAGCACTTAACAGCCTCAAGCAACCAGGAGCCAGATTCTGGCCAAATTGGTTCCAGAATCTACAAAGTAATAGAGTTGCCCAGCGGAAACTGAAAACAATAATTGACTACTGTACTAGCAATTACTTTTCTGACGCTGGTAGATAGTAGTCATAAAAGTCTATATAAGCTAGTTCAATATGTCAGCAACAGAGTATGTGATATGTATGTTCAATATGTAATTTTGTATTTAAGCGAGGTTTTCATACACAAAGTTCGTACTGTATCTGAATGCTGTAATGTATGTGTACATGTTTATATCTTTTATTTATGGTACCTAATTTATACTAAGGATCACGCGTACCTCAATGGCATGCTTCATGTAAACTTTAACTATCATGATAACATATATATTATATATGTATATATGAATATGAGTGAGAGTATGTATACTTTTATTTGTTTCGGTATATATATATATGTATGTAAGTGTGTATATATATGTATCTGAGTTGGTATTTATATGTATATATGTAATAATAAAATCACAAGAAAAAGGAAAAGACAGAACACTGTAGATGCGTGATTAGATCCATATTGAAGAAGAATTTTGATTGCGTAGTATTTAAAGAACTTGGCAGTCGAGGCAGTTTTAATTCCATTTTTATTTCCAGTTGAATATTTGTGGCCACAATCACTTGGCACTCTAGTCGTGCCTTTCCACAGAAGATTTACATTTTTGATATTGTTGGGATAGAAAGCAAGCCAGCGAAATTACATCTTAGCAGAATAGAGGGCAAAAGCTGAAGTGCGTAGTTATGAAAGATGGAAGCATGCGAAGAGAAAAGTTTTGGTTTACAATTCGGTGATTGGTCGTCAAGAGACATCTGGTATTAACGGTTACGTAAGATTGCATGATTAATTTGAATGACGCAATGCAGATAAGTTATTACGATTTTAGAATAGAGAGGATAAATTAATGTTTATAGTTATATTATAATTCTGATTCATACATTTTTATCTTACATATTCCCCCCTTCAAAAAGAAAAAGGCGTAGCGACAGAGAAGCCTTTTTAAAGAGAAAGAGTTAAAGCACTAGCAAATAAAAAAGAAAAACATAAATCATAAAATTTTGATTCTATAAAAGTATAATTTATAAATATCAATTTTTTTAAAATAAATTTTTAATTTTTAGAGTCCTATTGAATTTTTCAGCATTTCAGTCCAAAAGTCTTTTTGTTTGAGAGTTCACATAATCATAATTCTTCAGGGAAGGTTCATGAATCCTTTTTCATGAATGCCCTTATATTAATTAAACGACTTTGATTAGAAAATTTCTAAAATAAAATTAATTTATTAAAAATATATTGTATATTTATTTTTAATTATATGATTTTATTACTTAAAAAATAATATTATTTTTGATATTCTAGATTTCGTATTTTTGATATTTTTTAAGGTGATGAATTTCTGATTTTTGGAAATGAAGCTGTTGAAAATTCAGTTACCAAGCCAAAAGTTATCACTCAGATTATAATCAAAGTAAGTTCTCTTTATTGCATAAAGTGTATACTCATCACAGACTTCAGAATTAATATAATCTTAATAAATAAGTAATTTTAAAATTTCCAATTGAATTAAAAAAGAAAAAAAAAAAAAAAAAATCTGAAAGCTTTAAGATTTCACATTATTACCAAAGGAGCGCTCTTTTTTTTTTTTTTTTTTTTTTTTTTTTTTTTTTTTAAACGCTTTGTGTGGTACTTTTATTGAAATATGTTCTTTGTACTTAAACCATTAAATTCAGTTCAACAGCAATGTCATAAAATAATTTTAACTTGAGCATATCTTTAGAATTTCTGATACACAGTCTCACGCGCTGGAGACAAAAATGTTTTTCTGTACAACGTTGCTGTCGCTCGCTTTGAAATCCTTGAGTTTGTTAATCAAAAAATCGTTAGAGTGTTACAAAATATGAAATTTATAATGAAACAAATTCAAAATTCAAAATTAGATTTTCCACATGCCCATATTCGGTGGAGGATTACGTTATTCAAAATTTGATGGTTCTAGGTACCGTTGTTTTATCACGATGCGAGAAACATACATACATTTATGCAGATCTTCATTATTTAATTTCTTTAAATACAACACAGGGCGATAATATTTAGTGGCAACAATTTGAAAAGAGAAAGGAGCATTTAAAGTTTTCGACGTAAAATGCCAAATCGAAATTAGTATATGATGTTTACTACTTACTTATGTTTCTGGGCTAACGCCCTTTGGGCTAATAAATAAAAGAATTAATTACGTTATAAATGGAAAGAATCTTTCATTCCTGGGTTTGAAAAGCTCTTCCTTATCAATTTCTAGACCACTAAATCATGCAACAGCGTTTTATCCAGTATGTGTTTCTTTTTGAATCTTCTATTAAATATTATTGCAGCGTTTCTTTTATCCTAGCAGAATTTCTTAAGAAATTAAAACGCTTACGTCATAAAAAAGAGGAAATGCACAAATACTAGTCATTACAAGGTTATTCTAAAAACTATTCTGCATTTTTGAAATACATTTTAAAAAGGACAAATAGCAATCAAGAACAGACAACACGTAACTGAGAGTGAAAATATGCTCCAGTTACGTACCTTATTGCTGACTTTAGCCACCTTTGAAACTACCTAGTCATTAAAATTTGCGCCCACCAGCGGCAAAGCGGTAAAGTCGCTGAACACTGGTAGTTCGGTCCGTGGTTCGAATCCCGCGAACGGGCTGGCTGCATGGGCGTTTTCGTGGTTCCCCATGTGTAACGTGTATACGAGCCAGTTTCCCTTAGAAAGTCCTCCACGAAGGCATCCCTCCCCTTAGGCAGATAGCCCTCGTGTGCTTTGCCATAATTAAATGCACCACACACCATTAAATTTGCAAAACAACGAATCGCACTATAAATTCTATATTCAAAATACTTCAAAATGGATTAAGGATCGCTTATATACTGCTCGAAGCAAAGTAATAATACAGATACTTTGCCCTAGCTAAAGCTTATTTACATCTTCGAAGAAACATTGGAACCCTATCAGCATGCCGATTTGCAAAGCAGAAAACTTGCTAACGCTGATAATTCGACGTAAATTCGACTCCAGGCGGACAGGCTGGCTGCATGGGCCTCTTCATGATTTTCACCACAAGAAAAAATTTAAAAAAATACGCGGCAGTTCTTTTTAAAAGGCCTCCACGAAGGAATATCTACCCTTAGGCAGATAAGCCCTAGCGAACTTTGCGTTCATCTAATAAACCAAAAAAACCGTTTGCTTATTCGATTTACATTGAGAATTTTCTTATTCTATAAGATAACGCCACGAAGAGAGTATTTAATATATTAAGTTCGGATAGGAACTTATTTCTCTAACAGGACTATATCGGAAGTATCGGCTAAAAAATACTATTTAAACAGATGATACCCTCTCTTAGGCTTTCTGAAGGTGGCAACAAAAATTATGCCACTTACGGCTCTTTTTTATTATTTTTGCAGGGGCTCGCAATGGAGATGGGCATGGGGAGATGGGGATAAAAATTTAAATTGTATGTTTATTTTATTGAAATTTGTCACGCAGCCAAAGGTGGTACAGTCTCATAGCATACTTTATTCGATTCTTCTTATAACACTCTGAACGCTACCATTTAAAAAAGTTGTCATTTCTTCCCACGCCAACGGTACACCATTGAGCATGCGCAGTAAACTCAATGTGGGGTTTGCCATTAGGCGATCCAGACCATACCCAAAAATCTCTGTAAGTCGACCAGACTGTGCTGTCACCTGTCACCTGTAGTTAGTAATTAATTAGAGAAATGTTGGTGTACTTTTTTTTAATATTTGTTTATTATATGTTTATTATTTTAATAGGACTCACCCCAGTTTGACAGGGATTGTCCCAATCTGAAGGTGTGATCCTGGTCAATTTGTCATTTTGTCCCAGTTAAATATTAAAAATTTCTGAAATGCATACGGTTTAAAATGTTTTAAATGCCTGTCTGTACTGTTGTACCGTATGCCGGTGTTCGTAGATGGCGCATATGTAGAGCGTAATTATTTGTTCTCAACTGTGGTGCCATGTATGTTGAGAAATTCCCACTTAATAGGCATTCCCTTAAATGCAATGCTATATTTATTTTTAGTTACCTTTATCTCTACATATTGTTGCGTGCGTACGGGTTCGTTATGAAATGAATGCACAAGTCCAATGAAAAATGAACAAAAATTTATTATTATCACAACAAAAATGCTTAAATTTTCTCAAATTATCGTGCAGTATTACAATATCTCACAGTAGTTATCTTTTAACTACTCAAATATCCAATAGAACGTAATTCAAAACAGCTAAAGAACGCTAATCCGCGAATTCGCTACAATCAACAAGAGCAGTTTTCTAAACAACAACAAACTAAGCAACTACAACAACTACGAACTGAGATGTTTTCCTCCTTTTATAAGATTTTAAAAATCACGCGCTAGAATTTTCCAGTACTTTCTCGAAATCAAAAAGAGATATTTATTTATTTAATGCACGCGCTCTTGTATTTTCAATTTTCCGGCTTAGCTTTCTTTTAATATTCGACACGCGCTGCACCGCGCGAGAAATAAAACCATTTAATTTATAATTGAACTAACATTAGCTTTTTAAATACCAAATTCGTAACAATATAATAAAAGAAAGAGTCTATCTGTATGTGTGCTAGTGTGTTTTTCGTTTGCGTTGCGCGTAAGCTAATAGACCCACGGCTACTAAATTTGGTACATAGGTGCCTCTAGACAAGAGCCAGTGCACCTCGAAGCGATTTTTTCGAAATTCGAATTCAAATTTTTTTTTTTATTTTATGTTTTGTGACGAAATAGCTTCATTTTGAGACATAATGGGCTATAGGAAAGCGAGATTTTACTCTACACACTCCATTTTCACATCGTCATGAAACGTAGGCACTTAGCTATTTTACGAACTTAAAATAAATTTCGTGTTTCAATAAATCGATTCAATACGAATTTATTTAACAAAGAGAGCTTAACACCTTTTCAACGGGATTTTTTCTAAACAAGTTTATTTTTAAAAATGTACAGTTTATTTTTCTTTGATTTTTGGATACACGTTAAACTTTTATCCTTGCGACTGCTTTTACAAAAAGAATTTTGGAAAAATGATAATATTTTGTATTTAAAAAAAAAATTTTTAATGAAGCGTCCGAGTATACTTCTCACATCTCACATCTTTAAAAATGTGATTTTGGCAACAATTTTCCTTTCTTTTTGTTGTTGATAGATTTTTGATGAAATCGCATCATTTTGAATAGTTTCATTCTTTTAGAAATATGGGTTTGGCCACAATTTTTCATCGTATTTCTTATGTCACTGTTTTTAAGAGATTGGCATATTTCATTGTCATTTTTACTTCCTTGTACGAAGTAAAAAGGAAGTATTGTAATCGCGAAAAGCTTCAGGTAGCATATTTCAACGAAAATATCCACTTTGACCGCTTTCGAATGCAATTTAACGATGTTTTTGCGTGACATCTGTACGTAAGGACAGAATAAAAGACTCTTTTCGTCTAAAAAACTAAAATACTGCTTTAAAATGAATTCTGAAGAGAATTTTTCGTGGCGTCTGTACAAACGTATGTACGTACGTGCATACGAACGTACGTACGTACGTGCGTATCTCGCATAAATCAAAAACGAGTAGCCTCAGAACGTTGAAATTTTGTATATAAGACTACTATAACATGCAGATGTGCACCTCGTATCTTGGTTTCAATTGGCCGCGCCTATATTTATAAATATAAATATATTTATAAATATATCCACTCTGTTACCCGCCTCAGTGATCTCAGTTTCTTTACTCTTATATGTTTGTAAATTGTACATTTTTTGCTTTAAAAATGATTGAATTATGTTGTTTTTATCTTCCGGTTAAGGGTTTTATGCCTTTAGTAAATCTGTATGCAATATTTTTAGAATTATCAACAATTTTAAAATTGTTTAAGTGCCGCTAAGCCTAATTTGATGGCGGCTATTGCTCTTGTTTACATTTCAAACAGCTGAGTAGCGGATTTGTTGCCAATCTAGAGAAACTTAGCCTCGCAACAACAAAGATAACGCCTTTATTTATTATTTAAATCATGCTTAATCCTTTCTGGAATTTTTTCGAGGAAATAAGCGTTTAAGATTTACTTCGTAATTTTTAATACTGATATTTTGAGTTTTTATGTATTTTTGCCTTGTCGCGAAGTGAAAACTGAATTAATTGAATGAGAAATACTCAATCGTCTGAGAAAAACTGTTTCTTTTTTGTTTTGTTTGCTTAATTTCTTTTATACATCGTTCTAGCTTTATTATAGTATTTGAATAGAACATGTGGCAACGATTAGACAATTCTTTAAATGATATAAATTTTGTGCATTCTCAATTATAATATGAGAGATAATTCTTTAAATGATATAAATTTTTGCATTCTGAGTTATAATATGAATATGAATGTGAGTTTCTCTTTAGCGAAGACGACTGTTCTTGATTTTTGGTAAATATTATTTTTACTTGTTCTTCTCGATATGGCCAGTAATAGCGAATCACCAGATAGAGGCAAAATTCCTTGGCATGCTACTTTCAGCGATTATGATAGCGATAATGATTCTACTTATTCGAATTATTCAGGAAAATCGACTACATCCAAAGAGATGCCTGTAATTGCTTCAGATGACCCGGCGCTTCAAAGTATACTAATTTCTACTAAGAAAAGTAAATCCCAGAGAAAAGAAAAGAAAACCGCAGGAAGTCCTAAGAAAATAGCCGATAATACTAAGAAATTCAAACCCTCCCCTTCAAATTTTGAAGCAGTAGTTAACAAACACAGAAAAGTTTTTCCTAATTTAACAGAAGCTATCTCGCAAGAATATTTTAATACTCAGCTTCCGACTAACTCAAAAGATCTCTCACTCAAATTAGAAAACGAAATCGCTGATAAATTAAACTGTATTGAGTCTATGAAGACATTAACCTCCCCACCAGCGATAGAAATGCGTTCAAAGTTACAAGAAGAAATTCAACAAAACGGACAAAATCACAGATCCAATCTGTAAATTTTAGCAAGCATTCAGAACACCCCGAAGCTCGCAAATTCTAAAAACAGATGATAAAACAATAAATCAGAAGGATTGGCAAACTCCAAAGAAAACCGCGAAAAATTCCGAGTCTATTCCCACCACCAGACTATTCCGCAAAATAACAGATTTGAAACTCTTAACGAAAATAACGAAGCTATGGAAGTTACAGATGAAACTCAGACGACTACAACACAGAATAAACGCAGAAAATAAAACGAAAATTCCCCCCATTAGTCATTCCAGAAAACGATGTTGATTGGCCTGAAATTGACAATATGCTCAGAGAGATATGTAAAAACGAATTTGAAGTTACAATCAAAAGCCAGACAGATTTTCCTCCTTTACACTACCACCGAAGCCGATTATAAAGCTACAGTTGATAAATTCAAGAAAGCACAGATTAGTTTTCATACGTACCAAATTTCCTCAGCCTCTTCAATTAAAATTATACTTAAAAATATCCCAAGATCCTACACAGAGCAAGCAATTCACGCAGTTATTTTGGGAATTAGAACGCAGAAGCTTCCCTATAATTAAAGTAAAGCAATTCACGAAGAAAGCAGAAGACCAAATTATCCATTTACCTATATTTTTCCTTGAACTAAAAAGAAATTCTGCAGGAGAGAAAATTCATCAATTAAACAATATGTTCGGATTCAATATCACCATAGAAAAATATCAGCCCAGAAAACACCCAATTCAATGTTTCAATTGCCAGGAGTTCGGGCACTCCCAAAATAACTGCTTTAAAAAGGTCAGGTGCTGTAAGTGCGGACAAAATCACAGATCCAATACCTGTAAATTAAAACCAGATGAAAAACCAACTTGCATTTACTGTCACGAAAATCACGTTTCTTCTTATCGTGGTTGTAAGGTATACAGAAAAAGATTCAATCATTTAGAGAAGACAGAAAAACCACAAGAAATTCCCACTAAAGATGACTTCCCCGAATTTATTCAAGTTTCAGGCCAAACTAATCAAGAAATGCCTAAAACCCTTTACAGTGACAAAGTTAAGCAGAAAAACCCGCAGGAAAATTTAGCAGAAATCATTAACATTTTCAAAGATCAGAAAACCCTTTTTCTCATGAAATCAATAACCACAATAGTTCAGAGAATTAAATCAGCTAAATCAAATATGCAGAAACTTTGCCTAGCTTTTCAAGCCATTGAGATGATTCTGAACTTTGCAGATAAAGATTAATTCGCAGCTTCTCTCAAGACAAGCATAGCCGAGCGGCAGAAATTCTCAAGTTGCAGATCCTCACATCGTGGGGCCACGTTTACTTCTCTTCTAGAGACTCTGCACTAAGTGCAAAAAGTACATTCCATCTTACTGGATTCAACTCATCATTAAAGACACCCTACTTATAATATATTGGTAAAGGCCGCACTAGGCCGATTGCCTCTTAATTGTGTTATGACATAGACATAGATATAGTTATAATATGAACGAAATATAATACTGTTAAGTAAACCTAGCGCCAGAGTGTCGCTATGGTAAACAAAGTGAATTTTAAAGAATGCATTTATTCTATTGTGGTTTATGCGCTATCGGCGAAGTAGGTTTAATTCAATCTAATAAGTTTAAATAAAATGCAAGAAAAAATACGTATAATTTAATATTCCGTATAAGGAAGTCATGTGGTGTACACATCAGATTTTTTATAAAGTTGTTCTGCAAAGTAAAATTCTGCGCGGAATTTTTTGCTTTGTGTTTCTTTCATGTTATTTTTTGCACATTTCACTATTTGTAAGATATTGAAAAGTTTTGCATATTTTTTTTTCTTCAACGGAAAGTTGATTAATATTTTTATTAGGATAATTAATATTTGTATTAAGGGATATAGCTTATTTCATTGTAATTTTTTTCTCTTGAAAATATAAGATAAAATATCATTAATTATACTTCGCTTTTCAGAACTTTGTTTTTTGTATTCTTTTATGTTATTTATTGCTCATTTCACTGTCTTTAAGATATCGAAAAGTTTTGAGTGATTTTTTTTAGGAAACAAACCTCCTTTATACCATTTGAGTTCTTAAGATTTTGCAAAGGGAAGTTGGTTAATTTATTTATTAGGATAATTAATATTTGTATTAAGGGATATTGCTTATTTCATTGTAATTTTGTTATACGCAATAACTTTTTTTTATGAAGTTGTTCTGCAGAGTACAATTCTAAGCAGTTTTTAAATTTAACGTTGGTGTTCCCTTCAGCCATTTTTCCGGTACATTTAAAAGCCAGACGAATGCTGGCAGCGAAGCTGCTAGTATGCTCATATTATTATGTACGTGTCCTCTACTTTATTGCTTTTATATGCTTTTTCATTTTAATCCCAAAATTAGTGACTCAAGCAAAAGACAAAGAACCTTATAATACGGCTATATGCCACTTATATATGCCCCCAAATCTACTCCATTTCGTTTAATAAATTATAATTTAGTTGATTCCGTAAACTTTTATGTGGAAGACTGAAATTCTTTATAAAAATATTTGCTTAGCACATATCAATAAATACATGAAAATTCTTCTAACCATTAACTAACAGTATTTTACTTTCTTATAGAATTCTTATGAAACAGCATTAATGGAAAAAATATGGATATCTTTCCTGTCATTTCATCTGTTTGTGGTACCTGCTTTCTTGAGTTTGCTTCTGGGAAATGTGCCTGTTTTAGGTGGCACTGGCTATGATGATGAATATGAGGTTAGTACTGACAAAAAACGTTCCTAAATGTCGAATGAATTTTACTTTCTTGAGAAATCACGCCTTTTTCTTAAATTAGTCAATGACAGTCCATAGTATCATTTGAATAAACATGAGAATTAGAAAAGGAATTGCGAAAAGCATTTAGATGCCAATATAGTACACTTCCTTTTATTTTTCTTGTAAATAAACAAAGTTTGAATGAATTCATCCATACAATCGGAATTATCGATAATGAGAAAAGAGGACCATTAAAATTACACTTGTTACATATGATCATAGATATTAAAATGAAATTATGAACTTAGAAAACTGAACAACGCACCTTCAATTTAACGATAAACATATGTTCTTTTATTTGATATGAATTTCTATTTGCTGTTTAATCACAGCATGAAAGTCTAGGTAACTAAGAACAATCGATGCTAACACAAACTCCTCTCATAAGAATTCCAGGCCCACCAGCTACCGAACGGTAATATCTCTAAATACTGGTAGTTAGGTCCGAGGTTCGAATCTCGGCTACATGGGCTTTTTCGGAGTTTTTTCCATATATAATGTGTATGCGCGGCATTTCCCTTAGATAGTCCTGCACAAAGGCACCCCTCTCCTTAGACAGATAGTTATCATGTGCTTTGCCATAATCGAATGCACCAACACATAAAAATTCCAGTATAAATTACATATTTCAGCAGCAGCTGCAAGAAATGTTCCAGTCATGCAGTTGTACGAGGTAAAATACACAAAATAATTTACTACGTTGTTTCTCTCGACTTTATTACACTTAACACTTGTATCAGTTAGATTCACCAAATTTCACCCACATCTGCTTGGCTGCAGCGATGAAATCATTTACATCTGCAATATAAACCAAGCAATCACGCATACGCTTTCATTTTCAGTTCCTGGGGGGTGGGGAAGACACTTCAACCTAGGTCAAGTAAATATCTTAGGTAGGAGAGAAGCTGAATTAGTATCGCTAAAAATCGTCCGGAAAACTTGGAACTTCGTGTGAACTTATAATTATATAGCAGAAGCGTTGTCATGCAGAAGCAAAACTTTTCAGCTGAATTTTTTCCCGACATTTTTCCTTTACGGTCTATCCGAGTTGCATTAATAAATTCTTATATAAACTTCTGTTATTGCTGTCTTATGTGGCCAGTAATCAATATGCAAAGGACCATCTTTATCAAAAAAATTTTACCAGGGCTGGCCTTTTCCCACTCGTTGTAAACTCTACCTCACTTAAATTCTATCATGTTGTACCCCCCAACATTTTACCTCCTCCGAATTCTGCCATTCGGGACGCCTGAATTATTTGTATGGACTCTGTTGCCACTGGAAGTAGCCCCATGCCTTTTTCCAGCCATGCCCTTTTGTTTCCTTTTTGAACCATTGTAGTAAATCCAAGTCTCGGCATTTATCAGAGCGAGCAGTACTCAAGGACCAAATAATTTGGTTATCCTTCATTTCTGAAGTTAAGAACCTCCCATTTAGCGCATTTCGACAAATCCTACTTATGCAGTATATTTTCCCCATCTACCCCACAGTGATGCCTATTTCCGTCGTAATCTGAGAAAGTGTCCTTCATCGATTGTCATATGTTCCTTGACTTTTGCAGATGTTTCTTCAATGATCACGTCCACACTGAGACCTCATCTAAGGTCATTTCCTAGTGATGCTTTCCTCTGCCTAAATATGATAGACTCAATTTAACGGTGGCGTAAAAAAGTGCAGTTAATTGATGAAATATAGCCCGAGGATGACCCAAAAGTCAAATGTGTGGCGGTCGTCATTTATCGGCGCAAAAGCATCACTATGGACCGCAACTATGCAGGGTGTATCGGTACAGCGGTGAAAAACTTCCAGGACAGATAGAGTACACCTAAACGATGGGAAATCACATAGCAATGCATGGTCGGAAACGCTCTCCTGGAGCGGTAGTGACGACATAAAACGCAAAAAAGGAAGGGCACAAACAGTGAGACAAAACATATTTTATTATGTCTAGTACAGCAGAAACCTACAAATAAGAACAAAAATAAACAACTATCATAATTAAAGAAGGTGTTCAAAATTATGACCTCGGACCGTGAAGCATTCCTCAATTCTTTGGCGCATGGAAGATCTGCATCATGGTTCGGGTCGTAATTTTGAACACCTTTGATGATGATCGTTATCTCTTTATGTGGTTTTTTTTTTCTTTGTTTTCCTTATACTTCGAATAATAAACACGTTTCTCACCCCGTTCATGTCCTTTCTTTCTTGCCTTTTGTGTGATCATTACCGCGCCAGGAAAGCATTTCCGACCATGCATTGCTATATGATTTCCCATCGCCTAGGTGTACTCTATCTCTCCTGAAAGTTTGTCATCGCCGTACTGATATACCCTGTATATTCATCAATATTAGCCGAAGTTACGCCTTCTTTCATTACGAACTCTAGGTATATAGCTATGGAGTGCTTTGCTATAATCCAATGAACGAACATCCATTACGAACTCATTCACCGAATGATCATTGAGGCTTTTAATATTCATTGAAATAATTTTTAGACAATGTCTAACACTCCTTCGCAGTTTCACAAACTTACACTGATTGCATTCGCTTTTCATACTCTGGAAGTAAGATGCTATCCTTTCATTGCATTTCGTTATCCTACAATTACTTCATCGTACTTGGGTTAAGAACTTCTTGAACGTCCTCCTAAATATTCCAGTTGTTGGATTGCTTTATAAATGGTGATGCATGCATATTTACCTTGAATTCCCCGAGTGCTAGGCACCTGACCAAAGCGCTTAGCCATATGGATTGTAAGGCCAGCGGAAATTAATACAACCTGAAGCGAATTTTGAAGATAAAAGGCTCTACTAAAGCAGCAAAGGAGTGGGAGAGACATTGGAAAGAGATGGAGAAGTAGGTACGTTATACGGCGCACAGTAGCACGTCAAAGGTAAGGATGCATTCATGTACCATAATCAGAATCAGAGCCATTGCTCGGTGATTCTATAAGAGATGTCTCGCAAACCTTTGTCGCTAATTAGAAATATTTGTTTTCCTATTATAACTATTATACTCTTACAGTAAAAGTTTTAGCCTATACAGATGAGTTAGACAGGCTGGCCATTTTAGATGAGGAGAGAATTTGTTCGGTTATTCAAAAATTGTAATAATCAGAGGAGACTTCCTTACTGCGCAAGCCCCGATTTATGGTCCTTCGGCTAAATCGTTTGAGATATTTAAAGAAATATCCATGGTATGTGAAATAATATGCTAGCAATGGGATTGCTCTTCTAAGATCCAGCGAGACATTCGGGAAAAATTGGTAACTACTTCGACAAGCTTTTGAATTACTTCACCGATTTTGTTAATTATTGAGTAAGTAGCTTTGTGTTACAATTTTAAAATGTGAAATGAGAATGTTTGTTAGTTATTCTGGTGCCTTTGCATTGTTGACTGAGTTTTGCTATCGTGTTTATTTGCTCGTTACAAAGTATATCAGTATGGGCTGGAACTTAGTAGTATAATACTTCAGTATCTTCGGCGGTGATACTGAGCAGCGAGCGCCTGATATCAAACAAGATTAAGATACTTTGTTTACCGGTTATTATCTGCAGGCTTAATACTGAATCTCTTGAGATTTTAGCTCTCGGACTATTTTGCAAGGCAAGAGTTATTTGCTTTTTTAGCGCAATCATATTCACATTTGTGTGCTTCTTTATATTTGCGCCATCCTAACCTGCAAATTAATACGCTATTTTAGGAGTAATAGATACCGTTCCCAAAGACCATATCGGCATCAGTCCTGGAGGCGTGAGTATATATTGTTTCTTATGTTTGTGTGCTTTCAGATAAATCATGTTAGCGAGGCTGAAGCATTTGATAGCAGAGGGAGACTATCATACTTCGGTAATAGTGATGTTGTGAGAGTCAGAAAAGCATTCGTAGTCTAGCCACTTCCCTGCAACAGTTACTTCGCGCTTGATCAGAATTTCCAGAAGTGGAAGGACTGGCAACAACTTTAACAGTTTGTTGTTTGGAAATGGAACAACTTATACCTTTGGTACTGGTCACACTTTCACAATTTTGTGACAGGTAACACAAGTTACATAACCTCAATGTGCGACAGAATGACCGCTGATTGACTGTCTTTCAACTGTCGGCAAATGTAATTAATCAAAGCATCGACGCGAGCTCTGGCTGTTATTTATTTATTTATTTATTTATTTTCATGAAAGAAAAATAGTTTCAATATCTTGTCATGCAGCATCCCACGCCATTCACTTCTGGGCTGTCTTGCTTCTGCTCTCTTGTGATATGACTATTTTCGGACCCCACAATCCTTACATTGTGTATATATTAAGAAAAACTAATTGTTGGGGGATTTATATATACGTATAACAACAAATTTACAGCACTGCTTCTTACAAGGTGCTCACGATAATACGGTCTAGTTGTTTAGGCACTTTATGGACTTCCTGATATTATTATAAGGGTACAGCCCCGATCCTACTAGCCGGCCGTATGATAAAAAAAAAATGGGACTGGCCAAATGGACATCCTATATATGTTTGGCACAGTTTCAAACGAATGAGGACCAAACAACAGCTGAGGTACTAAAAAGCACCCGGCACTGGTAATTGGTCGTGAGCGGTTGCATGTGCTGCCTTCATGAAGATTTCTTGATTTTCCTCAAGGGTAATATCGGTCAATTTTCGTTAAAAAGCCCTTCATGAAGCAGTGGCGTGCGGTCGTGCACACCCTGGCAAAATTATGAGAGACAATAATTTTCTGCACCTATCTTTATATGGTATATAATAAATATTATTTATAATATATTCAAATATTACGTTAATTTGCTTGCTTGTATTCTCGCAGTGCGTGCGGTACTAGGTGCTGCACCACGTAGCGCATTCAAAAGCAAACTATCATAGGAAGCTTTGATGTGTACGCACTGCGCACTAATAGAAAATCACGTTTTATATGTATGGGCTACTGGAG